TGGCGTCGGAATAGAAGTGATTGGAGGACTTTCAACTGTCAAAAAATGTTATTTGGCAATTTTTTGTTTCTAGAATTTTGTCACAGAATGTACTATTTACGGTTAAAAGATTAAAAACCAAGGTATGGAGTGAATTCATTGAATGAAATTATTGAGTACATTTTCACTCAATATTGAGCATTTTGATAATTTTACTCGTCTGTGATAATATTTCAACTAAAACTGAGACTTTCACTAAAATATTCTTTAAAAAGATTCTGCAGATAAATTCGTAATTGGTACACTTGTAGCTAAATCGGAATAAATGTCCTCATTATTGAGTTATCCTACCCCATTCTATGGTTGTCGTGCGTTGTCTTTGTCTATTCCCATCGTCTCCATTAGGTAATTTAGTGTCGTGGTGTATGGCGTGTAGTGCTGGACAAGTGTCTGCTAATCCGGTTATTTTGGTGAAAATTATGTTTAAATGCAGTGGTTTAATTACAACAATTAAAAACAATAATATATTGAGTCTCGATTAATATTTGGTTAAGTAAAAAGGTAGTTAGATTGTTACCAATACTTACTAACGTATCCGTAACGTACAATATAGATTATGGTAATCTATTCGTCCGATCAGTTAACCAATTACTTTAATCGAGGCCTAAAATATTGTCTCTAAAACAGATCTGTGTAGAAACCACTGTGGCAGCTTGGTAGTTTAATGACTTTAATACAATTATATTTAAATTAAAATTTAAAGAGAATATAAAGTAGTACAAAATTACTCAATAATATTAAATTTAAATCATTTTAGAGAAAAGTCAACTCTTACTTGGTTTTGAATACTCAGAATACAGTCAAAAGTCACTCACTTGATAGTTAGCAGTAACTTGAATTTGAGTAACATTCACTCACTTCTGTGGCAAGAGTTTCACCTATAAAATTTTAGTTGTACTCATATCAAGAGAGTGAAAATTTCTCTCAATTGGATGTGGATAGAAATTGATACATTATTGAGTAAAATTGAGTGAATTTGACTGAAGTGTTTTTGCAGTGCAAAGGCGCGTTTTTTATTAATAATTTGAATTTTTGGATTAATTCGCTACTATTGAAATGAAAGATGGTCAAACGGGTAGTTTCAGTTTTTGCAGTTATGTACCTCCATTTGTTGAGAAATTAACTTAAAATAATTAATTTTTATATTATTTATTTAGCAATATCTAATTTTTTCTGAAGATTTAATACTCTGAACTAAGACTTGTAATGCAATATTCGTAATTAATGATCTCCATTTTTTTTTTCAAACCAATTTCCAAACGTTTTTGTCGATGTATAATTCGCGGTGTAAATTAATTCAGTTACAAATATTTTCGGACACACTTTTTAAAAATCCATCCATTCATTGTATATTTTGAAGACAGGAGCTTCTCTAGTGTCAATTTATCATGTCTCATATTTTTTTAGGCACCATTTCAGAATTTTTAATCTCATATTCATATAACTTCTTTAATTTCTAGTTTAATTCTACTCCTGTCTGCAATATTTATAATAAACTATAAAATTCTCTACGATTAGAGGAAAGGAGTGGCCTTGTTAGAGTACTTATATGATTACGAAATAGTTAATAGTTCGATGTGAATTGTTATTGTCTGGCGCTTGAAATAAATAAATCAATTTAAGCTGGTCGTTAAATTAGTGGCCGATTGGCTCAATTAATATAAATCTGGTAATAAAAACAATACGTAATAAACACATGTTTTAAATCAGCAAGCCGTTATAATCTTCAAGTGGATGTGTGCGTATCTCTAACTAAATCAGACGATAAGCCAATAATGTCCAGATAATCGGTTGTTCAGATTTATTTATATTTTATAAGATTATAAGACAGCAAATTAGTATTCTGTGTTTCTGTACAAGTATCCTCTTATAAATACAAGATAAAAGTACTAGAAATAATAGTAATATCTTGTACGGTGTTATAGAACTTAAGTCGCAGAACAAACCTACTGTAATTGAACTAGACCGCTTACTTGATTATTTTTCACGATTATCGTTATTTACAGAAATATTCTTCAGGGTTCTTGATAATAATTCGATATACAGGGTGGCGAAATGAAAACGAAACAGAGCCATTTTCAGGAACTGCGTCAAGGTTGTAGAAAAACGCTCAGACCCGTCGATTTTAGATTAAAGGGGGACATTCTTTGTTGGTATTTTTGACTCCGCCACTTTCACCGCCAAGCAAGGGTAAGCATCACCCCAAAATATTAAAATGGCATTGGCGGTTGAGTAATATTTCTTTTGAAAGCTCTTACAATTCTCTTTACAACAGACTTTAAATTTTATAATTCCGCCCAATACTTTGAAAAAAATTTACATTTTAAAATTTAAATGTTTAGTGGCTTACTTACTACTTAATTGATTAAATGTTCAAACTGATGACCGCCCGCTTCCATACAAGAATAAAGATTTGGTTAAAAACTCTTGGGTTTGAATCGGCCAATAGCGGCAATTGTGACGATTTACCGTCCCGTTCAAGAAAAAACTGCATTCATCAGAAAAACAGATGTTAAATAGGAACTGCGGATCGTTCCCTGCTCGCTCACTCATTATTTCGCGAAATTGCAAACGCGGTCATAATCATCCTCATGATGTTCCTGGACTAAATGTATTTTATATGGATGGAATTTATTCTTCTTCAAAATGGTTTGTATGCTAGTTCGATTGATCCCAGACACAGATGCCAGCTGCCTCGTACTTAATGTAGGATCAAGATGAACTTCTCCCAAAACTGCAACTTCACTAGCTTCTTTAACTATTTCTCGTTTTTTTATTGGCTACGTTCCCTGTCTTGAAATTTTTTTACTAACTCTAGGACATCCTTCCTCCTGACATGTCGATTTGATGTTGTTCATTAAATAACTGAGCTGTTCTATTCGCACATTTATTGTTCATAAAGTAAAGCGAAATGATATCTACCCTTTCCGCAATGGAATAAACCATAGTGTTTAATTTTCAAAAACACAAGTAAACTACCAACCAACGCTTCCAAATAATACTAGAAAATAGTTTGAAAACCACTAATTTTACGTTCATTGTGTGTATAGCATTCATTTCTGTTTTCTACAATTGTGTTTTTTTACGAAAGTGATAACAAATCGCCAAAAACCAATGTAACGCAAGAAATACTAAATTTATACCATTGGCGTACTTAACTCGAAAGACTGATATTTTTACCGTTACTAATTGTTTGTACATAAGTTTCAACTTTAAAATCAAAATTCTTAATAAGTATTGGGCGGAATTATAAAATTTAAAGTCTGTTGCAAAGAGAATTGTAAGAGCTTTCAAAATAAATATTACTCAACCCCCAATGCCATTTAAATATTTTGGGGTGAAGCTTACCCTTGCTTGGGGGTGAAAGTGGCGAAGTAAAAAATACCAGCAAAGAATGTCCCTCTTTAATCTAAAATCGACGGGTCTGAGCATTTTTCTACAATCTTGACGAAGTTCCTGAAAATGGCTCTGTTTCGTTTTCATTTGGCCACTCTGTATTCAGTTGGTAATCAATTTCCCATTTGTTTAATACTTACATACCTTTTGTTCTCTGTTAATAGCTTTTCAATTAAATGCAAATTATCGTTAGTGTGCAACTCAAATTAATGGACATTGTTACTTATTTTTGAGAGGAAAAATTGTTTCGTTTCTCAAGATATGCGAATAAATTGCGTCATTCTGTAGGTGACATATGCGATCGTATTTAAGTCATTTCCTTTGATTGCTTATTGGTCCAATTTAGCATAAAAACAGTGAGTGACTTTGATATTATATTCGGGCACGAAATGTGACAACCTCGCACTGATGCTCATTTTTAGGCGAAATCTCCAATTCTTGTCCACGGTGCCGAATGGATGTTTCTGGACTGTCAGAAACACTCACGAACTGCTTCGATGATTGATCCAATCTCCCAGAATTTTTCAAAAAATCTCCACAATTGATGAAGTTAAATTACTATTCCGGGGTCCGCTCTGTAACTAGCTTCAGTAGAATTTCAGTAAAACTCATTAAATATTTTTGTTAAGAGGAGGTGCCAGATAAATCAGTGAACAAACCTGGTGAAGAATGAACACACTGTATTTTGTATCAGCTGTTGGTGTGCGGTCCCTCAGTAAAGTTGTTAGTTAACAAATTTCGAATTTTCGGAGCAATCACTAGTTTCGCACTTTCTCTATAGCAAGGCCGCTAACCTCTCAACAAAAATTTTAGTGAGTTTTACTGAAATTCTACTGAGCTAATTATGGAAGCACACCCGACCATATTTTGTCAAATATTAATTATTTTTAAAACATTGCTCAACAATAACGAGCTGTTCTTTCGTGTAGCAGCGCTCAAATTTAATAACCCTGAACTGTCACGCTGTCTTTTTTTTTTCATTGGCAACACCTTACCACACAAATGGCGGAAAATTCAAATCTTACATGAATATTGGGGTACCCGATTAGTAATTACTAACTAAGAATTATTTGTTTAGTTGTTTAGTTGTAAAGGATTGGTTTATTTATTAATAATAACTGACACGTTTATTTCAGTCGTTACTATCAATAAATCGATTCTTAGTCTAATTACAACCAGCCATTATCAATCTGACGATCCACAACTAATGACTAATCTGTAATCTATTAGCTATTAGTCATGACTAATGCACGTGTAAGCAGTCATGACAGGTTACTCGACTGCCCATCATTACTGTAAGTAATGTAAGTATTGTTTTGTCGAACATATTAACAACCAATTAAAAAAAAATAAAAATTGTTCTATACTCTATTAATTAACAAAACACACTATCATCATGATAAGGCTTATTTACACCTGTGTGGCATCCCAAATGGTTTCGTAATCTTTATTTATTGTTTGCAAGTGTTCTATCGCTTTTAATGTTAATTACGATTTGTTTAAAATCCATACTTTGATAAATGTACGTGAGTCACTGCATTGCTGATATTATAATATTGTTTCAGTGATGACTGAGAGCAGTGATGAGTTGGTCGGCAATATGATTCCATCTGCAGCCGCCGAAAGGAATCCTGGGACCACCACCAACCATCGAATTTTAACCAAGAGTAACGAATCTAAAATGGATGCTGCCAATAACCAGCCAGAAACAGAGGAATTCGTGCCGAGGATACGATGGCCCGACACCATAGCGCAACTTTTTCTTCACTTGGGGTGCCTGTATGGGTTTATCTTGTGTTTGGTGTCGGCAAAGTTTTACACGACTGTATTTGGTAAGACTTGATTTAATAGTAGATTAACAAGTTTGTTTTCATTGTTTCTAAACTGTTTGTTTGTAAGAAGTTTGACTGCCATTACTTCAGCATGAGATAGAGTAATCATAAGTGAACAAATAAATTGTATATATTACAGGGGCGTAAGATTTACAGTTTTCAAAATACAGCGAGTATTAATATTGGGGAGTTTCATCACAACGTGACAACAGCGCTTAATCTAACGCTACACATACCACGTGTACACGCGGCAGACTTGTCCTACGGAAAAAATGTAAACAACTATTACTGTGAAACATTTAGTAAATTGTATCGATTTTGTAATACGAATATAGTGTTGTGCTTAAATTTTAGCTCGAATGTTAGTAATTATGAATCTCTTAAAACAGGAGCTTTTAATCAAATTATGAATTTGAAAAATATGTAATAGACCGGGAGATATTAGACTGAAGTTCGACGACGCCTTTCTCGTTTATGCCTCTGAAGTACTGAAAGGTAACCGAGAGACAAGTACAATCAACTAAATTTAAAAGATGGACTGTGAGACATCTTTGTGAAAATTCAATTTTCCTTTTCAAAAAAATTATGTGTACAGCGTCGTATTTCTCACTTATGCCATGTTCGTAAGTTGAAGAGAACTATTTTATCATAAATTTTTGTTGGCATAAGTGTCGCAAGGGACCTAAAAATGGAAAACTTTGTAAGAAAATGTGAAAAACATGTATTTGTCTACCAATTTCTCATTAATGCCAATTAGAAATATGACATTATTATATTCGAAAAACTCATAAAAAACATTGGCATAAGTCCTACTAAAGACTAAAGAAAATAGGGCTTTGGAAAAGCTGCGAAAAATTTTTATTTTCATTCTATAACTTTCTCATTTATGCCGTTGAAAATTTATGATACTATAAATAATGTACTGTGCCAAGTAGGCATCACTCCTCTATGGGTCCAATATGAAGGCATAAGTCCCAAAGTTATAGGAAAATTCATGAAAATTTGTACGTCTTTCTCGCTTATGCCATTTTGCATGCACGTAGGAAACTACATTATAAAGTCATATAAATGTAGGCATAAGTCCACATTGGATTTTCATGTTGCAAATTAATTTGAATTTTAATACGAGTCAGGGCGACAAAGTAGAAAAATAATAGAAAATTGCCACAATTTTCTCGTTTATGCCGTTTCGTACACGAGTAGAAAATATTATTAAAAGCCACTTTCAAGAGTGGCGTGAATGCCACAAGGTACCGTCGTATGTAAAATTTTTTAAAAAGTTGTCAAAAATTACAAATTGCGGTTATTTCCTCGCCTGCGCAATTTTCGATATACTTAAATTAATTTAAAAAATGTATCATAAATAATGCAAGTGTCGGAGAAGAATCTATATAAAGAAGATATATTTCTAACTATAAAAGGGAATAAAAAATTTAAAATAAAAAAAAATACATGAAAAGAGGAGGCTTTGTATTGGGTTTAGTTTGATTTTTCGATAGGTTATTTTTTATTACGATAATTCTACGTGAAAAATTATAAAACCGAAGAAATTTATATTTTTGATATGTTTTAATTTTAAGTTAATAAAAATTTGTATTATTTTAACTGTTATTCTTTGTGTTAATTATAACTAAAAATTAGTAATTCAAAGTCTTTGAGGAAGCATTCTGACAATTGAGTTGACAGCGGTTTTTCAATTCAATTACTATTAAATAAATCTTTTAATATAAAAATAAAATGTGTAAAAGTACAAATTAAGTAATTAAGGTACAAAATACGAAAAACAAAAAAACTAAATTCAATATTCATGATATTAAATCAGTTATAAATCAGTTTCTCCTCTATGTATTCTAGCTTAATTCTATCTCATTTTTCTTCTTCTTCTACCTTAGTCGGCTCAATTCAAGTAGATCATCCTTGCACTGTAGCGGTTAATTCAAATTATATTAATTTTTAAAATTTAAATATATTGTTCATAAATACGTATGGTCTATTGTGATAAAATACTCATTTACAAATAGGCACAAACGAGAAATTTGTGGCAATATTATATAATTTATCTTTTTCTGATCATGATTCAAAAAATTATTAAAAATCATTTCTAATGTGTGGGGACTTATGCCGAAATAGTTTATTATTAACTTTCATTAAATACATGAATTACTTATATTTATAAAATTAAAAATACGTTAAATGCAAGTAAGTATAATTATTTCGAAAATTGCACAGGCGATGAAATTAACATTTTAAAAATTTTTACATACGACGGTACCTTGTGGCATTCATGCCACTCTTGAAAATGGCTTTTAATAATATTTTCTACTCGTGTACGAAACGGCACAAACTAGAAAATTGTGGCAATTTTCTATTTTTTTTCTACTTTGTCGACCTGACTCGTATTAAAATTCAAAATAATTTACAACATGAAAATCCAATGTGGACTTATGCCTACATTTATATGACTTTATAATGTAGTTTCCTACGTGCATGCAAAATGGCATAAGCGAGACAATTTTCATAAATTTTCCTACAACTTTTCAAAAAATTTTTAGCATATAGTCCTCACCAGGGACTTATGCCCTTTAAAAAAATTAATACTTTCACTTTTTTCTTTGCAATAAGCTTTAATGTATTCACCAGAAAAACGTTGACCAAAACGAAAAATTTTCCACAGCTTTTCCAAAGCCCTATTTTCTTTAGTCCTTAGTAGGACTTATGCCAATGTTTTTTATGAGCTTTTCGAATATAATAATGTCATTGCGATACGATTCGTTTAAGAGATACAGAGCGTTTTTTAATTTTGATACTTTTCTATGATATTCTATAATAACTTTTGTTTCTGAAAAAAAATTATTTCTGTAATTAGGCTTTTTACACAGTTTTTTAACGTAGAAGACGACTTTCTGTCTGCTAAGCACAAAATTTTATTTTTTATTAGATTGCTGCTGTATTTTTCCTTTCAAGATGTATGATACAAATATAAATGATGATACAATTAATTTTTTTTCATCGATATATCAAATACATCCATAGAACACTTAATTATGTTAAAAAAAGTTGAATGCCAAAAAAATACAATACTAATAATACATCATTTGTAGATTTTACAAAACTGACGGTTGCAAATTTCAAAAATTGGAAAATTTATAAGATGTTTTGATTAAAAAAAATATAAGTTTGAGTTAGAATTGAAAAACTGGAAAACGCACGCCGCTGGACTCTATGCAAACAATTGTAAAAAAATTTTTTCGAATATCGATCCTGTATAATCCAAACTACTTTTATTCAATCTTTTCGGGGAATAGGAATTTGGCCCTGTCTGAACGTATGCAAACAAAATTTAGGCACAAGTTCAATCGGTATGTTTGTAGATTATCCTTAATAAGGAGACCTTTTTTTTTTTAATATCCCTTTTGTACTACTTTTTTGTGCTGTTTTTTTGTGTGTTTTTGTACGTATCGGTCGATAGCCGCACGGTTTAAGGCGTCAGTCCTTTAATCGTGTGCAAATTTCTGCTCGGGTTCGATTCCCGCGGCCGGTAGACCGTAGATTAGCTATGCTTGTACGGAGGATTGGCACCCTCTGCGCAGGTATGGTAGGGTGGAAGAATGTTGGCTTGGGTCAATGTGAGAGATTTACACCGGTTGGCATTTGACCACCCCCTTAATTAATGAGGTTTTCCAGGTTTCCCTCATTCCTGCACTGAATGGTGGTTAGGGCCTACCAACATAAGTCGTTCNAGTACATAATTTTTTATGATATTGTTTCTCTTTTAAATAATGTTTAAATTTCTGTGATGTCTTCTAGCAAGGGAAAAAAGTTATGAACAAAACAAATTTTGAGTTCTGGGTAAATAATGAAATATGCGTTTTTGGCTCTTAATAACATCGTTGAACTCGAAATTTATAGCTTTATGGGGTGGTGCAAAATCCAATATAGCGTCCAGTATGATTATGAAGACATAAAAGGATCTAGGAGACCTGGAAATTGTTTTAATCTTGCAGTATATCGTCTTTTGTATACATACATACTTCCAATAATAAAAAATATATTATGGAAGAAATAAAAATAGCCAATTTTCAGTTTTTTCAGCCTATTTCAGGAACCGTACAAATTACCTCCAATTTAATAAAGTAATTGTAATTTAACCAATCCTGTATATCTTCTAGTTCAGGAGATACTAATGGTATAGAGGTACATCTTAAAAGTGACCACCCTGTATAAAATCACAGCTTATAAAATCAACATTATCACATGATTTCTTAAATCAGGAAAAAAGTGTGTTGATAATAAGTTTTTCGAAACGTTAGCTGTGTATCGTGAGAAATTATCTACCTCATTTTTTATTAATCCATCGATATCGGAGACCTTTCAAAAATCAAATTAAAGCTGAATAAATCCTGTTTCCTACTCCCCTCCTGTTTCTACTGAATTTTTTTTCGAGGTATGTATTTTTTTTTGATTGCTCAATAACCGTAGCTGAAAAAATGTTTTTGTTTAAGGATCTTGAAACTAGAAACTTACTTAACGTTTGAAAATTCTTTTTTTTTTCTCATTACGACCACTAAAAAATCTATGACATTTTTAACAATAACAATAATAATAATAATAATAATAATAATAATAATAATAATAATAACAATAATAATGATAAAGAAGTGCTTTGCGCCACCCCCAAAACCAGTCTCTGGATCCGGGCCTGCATTATTCCACTGCTCAAGATGATTGTAAAATTCAGGCCTCTAAATGTAAACCAACTTTTTAAATTTTTTAAGATAATGGCATATAATTTGTTCCAGTAAAAAAACAAATAATGCGCTGGCAGAGTAGAGCATCAAGATCATCCGGATATCACAAAAATATCGATAATAGAATTAAAAATGAATGTTAAAACAGTTTTAATTAGGTTTAGTTTAGTGTTGTTGCTAAAAATATACAGTTTAAACTATATAGGTATATTTTTGTGATTTAAATTATCGAAAACAATAAAAAAAAGTGAA